GATTCTACGGTATATTCATAATACTGTAGATGTCGGGTTAGTTTTTGAGCAGGAAGACAATCAGTCTGTAGTTGGATATTGTGACTCAGATTTTGCAGGTGATCTGGACAAACGAAGATCAACTACTGGTTATGTGTTTACTTTCGCAAAGGTACCAGTTAGTTGGAAGTCTAATTTGCAGTCAACAGTTGCTTTGTCTACAACAGAGGCAGAGTACATGGCTATCACAGAGGCTGTGAAGGAGGCAGTTTGGCTTCATGAATTGCTAAAAGAGCTTGGTATTGGATACAAAAGTATCACAATTTTTTGTGATAGTCAAAGTGCTATTCAATTAGCGAAGAACCAAGTTTATCATGCAAGGACGAAGCACATTGATGTTCGATATCATTTCGTACGAGAAATCATAGAAGAAGGTGGAGTCACGGTAAACAAAATTCATACTACAGAGAATCCTGCTGATATGCTGACAAAAGTGGTGACTGCGGTCAAGTTTCAACATTGTTTTGGATTTGATCAACATTGTTGAACACTGAAGATTGAAGATAAAGACACAACCAAGATTTGTTATTAAGAGAAAATTGAAGAAGTGGAATTTTGTCAAGGTGGAGATTTATTGATTGGCAAAATATTGTCCCACATCGGTAGAGGACCTCATTTGGGGGGATGTTTCCCTATAAAAAGGAGGCCTAATGTTTAGGATTTTAAAACACCTCTCATTTGCCTTCTTATCTTTTTAAGGCATTTGTATCTTCTCTCTTTAGTATTATTTCACTTGTATTTTTGGAGTGGAATAAAATATTGGTTGTGTTCGAGGAAGTAGGCAAAATTGGCCGAACCTCGCAAATTTTGGTGTTCCTTTTATTGTTGCTTTATTGTCTTATTTATTATTTGGTGGCTGCCATAATTTTTGGTATAGTAGTTGTGACTCATTCATACTATATACATTTGGCTTCCGCAACAGGAGTGTCCCCTCCTGAGTTTAACGGTGTGTGCTTGGGAGACTTGTACAGTGTGGCCTGGATGGAAGACATGTATGAACAAATTTTATGGTCCCTTCTCTGGTAATCAAAGAGCAAAAAATGAGTTGATGCATTTTATTGTTTTTAGACTTCTTTCCATATTAAAAAAAAGGCAGCCCGGTGTATTAATTAAATAGCGGGGTTCTGGGGAAGGACCAGACCACAAGGGTCTATTGTATGGAGCTTTACCCTGCGTTTCCGCAAGAGCCTGTTTTCACGGCTTGAACTCGTGACCTCGTGGACCCCCAAGCTTAATTTCATTCACTAGATGAATAGGCAAATGTGGCATTATATCAAAAAATGTTGGAAGAAAAATCCTTTCAAGTTTACAAGTTATTTCAGCAATTTCAGATTGCATTTTTTCAAGATCCTTTCTCATTACAACCTTACTACATATAGCTCTAAAGAAATCGCCCAACCTAATCAAGGTCAACGAAACATTCTTAGGCAATGATTTCCTAACTTCAACCTAGAGTAAGTAATGCATTATAAAATGAGCATCATGACTTTTGTACCCTGATATTTTTATCTCCTTCACATGCACACGGTTTGATATATTTGAAGCACACCCTTTTGGCAATTTGGCATTTTTAATAACGGTGCAAAACAAGCTTTTCTCTTCTGGACTCATGGAGAAACAAGCTTGAGCCAAACTTACTGTTCCATTATCATCTTCTCTTGGTTGTAGCTCCTTTCGTATCCCCATTTCTTGCAAGTTATAGTGAGAACTTACATGATCCTTTGACTTTCTATCTATTTCTAAGAAAGTCCCAATCAAACTATCACATATGTTTTTCTCAATGTGCATCACATCAAGATTGTGCCTCAATTTGTTATGCGCCCAATATGGCAATTAAAAAAAATAGATCTCTTTTTCCACGGACTTTTGTTGTTACGAAGTTTTTTCTTTTTTCCCTTTCCAAAAACATTATTGAATTCAAGCAATTCTTCAAATACTTCTACACCCGATAAAGAAGTAGGTGCAGGTCTATGCTCCTCCTTACCATCAAATGACCTCTTATCTTTTCGGAATGGATGATCAGGAGGCAAAAATCTTTGATGGCCCAAGTAACACATCTTATGACTATGTTTAAGATATTGAGAGCATGTGTCATAATTACAAATGGGGCATGCCAATCTACCCTTTGTGCTCCATCCTGAAAGCATTGCTAATGCTGGAAAATCACTAATTGTTCACAATAAAGCTGCACGCATTTGAAATGTTTGGTTTGTATCAGCATCATATGTTTCTATCCCGACTTCCCATAGTTCCTTCAGTTCTGCAATTAGTGGTTGTAGGTACACATCAATATCATTTCCTGGAGATGATGGACCTGGAATGATCATTGACAACATAATATATTCCGGCTTCATGCAAATCCACGGCGATAAATTATAGTTCATCAACACAACAGGCCATGTACTATGAGAAATGCTCATGGTTCTAAATGGATTAAAACCATCGCTTGAAAGACCCAGCCTAACATTACGCGATTCTCTAGCGAAGTCCGGGTGCAAGGAATCAAAATCCTTCCAAGCTTCTCCATCAGCCGGATGCCTTAAATTTCCATCATTGGGTCGTTCATTAGCATGCCATTTCATTGCAATAGCTGTTTCAGGACACATGAACATCCTTTGAAGCCTAGGCTTTAAGGGAAAGTACCTTAAAACCTTTGCAAGGATATTAGAACTTGCATTAGTACTCTTCCATCTTGAAGTCCCACAAACAGAACAAGTATCAGCCTTCGCATTGTCGTTCCAAAATAGCATGCAATCATTAGGGCATGCATGTATTTTTTTCATAATGAAGACCCAAATCTCTTATCATGTTTCTAGCCTTGTTAAACGACTCTGGTAGTTGAGCAAATGGAAATGCCTCTTTTATCAAGTCCAGCATGTCTGAAAATGCTACATTACTCCACCCATGCAAGGATTTAAGCAAGTATAGCCAAATGGTGAAACTTAGTTTAGTAAAATTTTCACACCCAGGATATAACTCTTGTTTTCCCTCATCAACCAATCTAAAAAATCTCTTTGCATCTTCAGATAGTCCCTCTTTCACTCCTTCTTCATGCCTTGACTCACCCTCTATATTTCTAAATGTATCATGAAGTAGTCTGTCAATATCGTTACGCATGTCAAAATCATCATCATCATTGCATGGATTAGGTGGATTTGCCGAGGAAAATCCTTCCCCATGGAAAACCCATTTGGTATAACCAGCAACAAACCCATTTACTACCAAGTGATCCTCCACCACATTTCTATAATGCCAATTGCGATTCATGCACTTTTTGCAAGGACATAATATTTTATTTCCCTGGGAAGCTCATTCAAATGCCTTATCAAGAAAAGTATTTACTCCACGAATATACTCATCCGTCCATCTTAGGAGATTCATCCAACTTTCATCTCCATAATCCATTTAATTCCTATAAGATATTAGTAAATCACCAAAATTAAGATTTATGTTAAGCTAAGTTACAAAAAAATTAAAGAGAACTAATGTTATCAAATAAACCATGACCAAGTACTCTGTTAATCTAGGATTCAAGGATGGCGATTTAGTTCTCATCAATATATGTAACCTTTAAATCTTTACAAACTATAAGTATTCTACAAGCAAATAAGATCCTTTCACTGTAATGCATATGCATATAAGGGGTTTAACCAATAAACCACTTTTACAGATATAAAAAATGATCTGAACAAACAAGATCTCAATTTAAATTACACAAATAATTTCCTGCTCACTTTTTCTATAAGTAGCAACATATAGATATAGCAATTAGAGTGTATTTTTTGTAAGTAAGATGTAGAAGTTTGGTATGTTTCTTTACTGAGGCCCATCTATGTATGAAGTGCTGTCACAAACAGATACCTAGCTTTTACAAACAGATAAATTGACTTACCATCAAACAATTTAAACCTACATCTAGAATAAAAGTGAATATTTTTCATAAACTAAATACAAGTAACGATCTAATAAAATAGAAGCAGATACTCCCTACATCCCAATTTTAAATCAGACGACATCGTGCACTTCTATGTACTTAATAAGTACCAGCACCTGATTAGAACCTTTCAATTTCCCTTTTCTTTTTTCCTAATATGTGATGGTGCTATTATTGACGAACACAAGAGCAGAAGAGTAAGGGGAAAACGTGATACATATTTGAACAAACACATTGAACAAAAGTTTGGAATATATTCTCTCTTCTAAAATATTCAAACATTGCTATCATGGAACACACATCTACAAGAGAAAAAGAAGGCTGAAAAATTTCACTAGTACCTGAGTTTGCACCAAATTAATCAAAAAATAATACATGTATCTTTTACATTCACTAATTAATTAATGTATCTTTTTACCAATATATTATTAAACTATAGTAGTTTTTTTTTAAGAGAAAGAATACAAAGCTGCAGCAAAACATGAGCAGATCTAAAAAGGGGCGGTTTTTTTTTTCCTTCTATGCAAGCATCATATATTTAGTTTATTGCAACAAAATAGAACTAACAGATACATTCTTATCTTGATGCACATGAACCACATAAGTTAAAAGCAGTAAATAATGAAACCCTTTTACCCTGTACCTAAAAAATGGAAAATGATTCCTTTTTGTTTTGAAAGAACAAACCATTCAAAGCCTAGCATACCAGTTTCGGTTCAAATCATAAATCTAAAGCAACATATACACCACTGATACCCAAAAGACTAAAGAATAAAGAAAATCAATATATCTAAATAAGAAAATAAGAACTTACAAATTCTTCAGCTAGTGATTTCTCACAGTGTGCCTTTTGGAAAAATAATTTCTCGCGATTGAAGCTAACTGAGAAACTAATTATGTGAACACGCTCAAGGAATCGATCTTTTCCGGAGAAACTGCCAACAGAAAACTCGCTTCTAATTGTAGTTACTGAATAAATTAAAGACTCTCATAAAGAAAATGCATATAAAATTAAAATAAAAAAGTAAGACCACCAATTTGTGTGCATGCAAACAAAAATCACAAAGAAAATTGAAAATCTGAAACTAGCCAAAAATAGGGAAACTTACGCTGATGGTAGAAAGAGATCCCAACCTTTTTGTCTCTGCAAATACACTTTGCAAAATCTCAACTATTGATTTCTAACTGATTTTGAGACCCCCACGATTCTGCTACTTTGTGAATCTATTGGGTATTTAATTTTACAAAGCTAAATTCCACCCATAGCTAAGAACCCTCATTGCAGTGTTTATGTTACAAATTTGGTAGAGAGAGAGAGAGTGAGAGAGAGCGAAATTGGGAGATGAAATTGCGAAATAATTAGCGCGAGTTAGGGAGAGAGGAAGTGGGTTTAGGGTCTGATAGAGTACAAGTTGTTTAGGGAATGAAAAAGCTGATATTTTATATTTTCAATAAGAAATAAGAGTAAAAAAAATATTAAGGAAAAGATTTTGGCGGGTTTGGCAAAATAGAAGAGGGAAAATAAGGAGGGAACCCATAACCGTCCCTATAGGTAATTTTCCCCAACACCGTGCCAATAGATACAAATATTGCAACGTTTGTAACAACCGTTGCTACAGTAAGATCTATGGCAACGGTTCCTGTACAATGGCAACGGGTAGATTATTAAAGAGTAGCGAAATCCTCCAGCCCTATTGGCAACGGTTTTAACCGTTGCTATATATAGTGTATGGCAACGGTTCTGTTACCGTTGCATAAATGTTCGTTGCCACAGGCCCTATTTCTAGTAGTGAGGACATTTTACTTCCATATAAGCCGATACATTTTACTTCGTTGAAAACCCAAAAGCATTAAATTAAGAAAGCTGAGTATGTCAGTTCACGTAGTTGGGATGGAAGACTTGTATTTTCCTCACTATCTTGGAGGATTTTTATACTTGGAAGACGCCATTTTAACTCACTTTATTATTATGGACATGGTACTTATTACTGTTTGTACTTGTGAACAGTGATGTACAGGATCGAACAACTGACAGTGTGGCGGGACAGTATGACCATGTAAGAGCTTGTACTATTGTAAACATATCGTGCATATTGTTTAAGTAATTGTTCATAAAATAGAAGATCAATTTTTAATGCTTCAAATGTTTTCTTTTATTCCATGTTTTGAAAGGAAGATTTATGATTTCATTGTGGACATGCTCCTCAGGTTGCAAATAGAACTGCAGCCAACTTAACGCATGGTTTCTATGGCTCCCATGTCATGGAATATGGTGATATAGTGGTGAGCTTTGATTCTCTTGCCGCGTGTATGGGTGTTACTAATTATTCAATGACAATGCCATGTCATTCTCGACATCATCAAAGCATGTGGATCAACGCAGTGCTGAGCTTTTCTATTTGTTCACCAAAGTATGTTTCTACTACAGCCTCTTTTTGTAGCACAATTGATAATGTGGAATTATTCTTCCCCACACCACACGATTTCTATTCGTTTTTTCCGAATATTTGCAGCACCAAAATGCTCCTGAAGGATCTGTTGAGAAAGTCGAAGCTCAAGCGACACTTAAAGAAGCTTTATCAAAGAGAAGTAAAGTGGACAACAATGTAAAAAATCTTGGGATCGGAGCTGAAAAAGGTAATGAGGTGCTACAGAGTGTTCGACCTGCTGGACAACCACTTGTTGACAATTGGAATTGCCTTAAATCCTATGTAAGTAATCAGCCTAATTATAAAAAGTTTGTGCTACGTACTTAATTTACTTGAATTTCTCTGTTAGTTTGTTTGTTGAGAATGTGACTATTAGTCTTTTCTAATGTATAGGTCAGGGCATTTGAGGAACATTGTGGGAAATTAACATCGTACGGAAAAAACACATACGTGGTATCGCCAACATCTGCAATGCTGGAATTGAGAGCGACCAAATGGCTGCTGCAACTGCACAAGCATGTCCTAATTAGTAGAGGATAACCTTTGACAAAGGGATTAGTGTATGTTTAGCCACTTTGTGTCATGGCAATAAAATTTCACCTTTAGTAGATAGCAACAGTGAAAATAACTCTTGGGTGAAACATCTTGTCATTCTCCATGTACTAAGTCAAATTGAACTTTTTTAGAGTTCTTATAAGTAATTCTAGCCCTTATCAGAACGATCTTAAATTAAAATCATGAAAGAAGAAATAAGCCCAAACAATCAGAATTTTGAAATATTGTCATATAGAAAGTATGAATTTTTGTAGTTTTCACATTTGATAAACGCCATGTAATTATCATGAAGAGAAAGAGAGACGGTTGGAAAACATAAGCAAGAATTAATAATCGAAATATTTTACAATTTTATTAAGGCTATGGGTGGAGTGATCGATCCACGAGATTCTAAATCCTTGCAACTAATGAGGGACAAGTGTATTCTCTAACCATAGATAACGTTCCCTTATGTATAGAGATTTTCTCTCTCTCTTACTATACCAACCAAAGATAAAAAACGTGATTTGGATTGTGCGGGTATTTTCATTAATGAAACATTTTCTTATCACAGAAGTGTTATCTAATCAAGGGGAATGATTATGAACGCTCAATGGTTGCCGTTTTACTTTACTTGTCTCGTTGGTAGGGGCGGATGTAGCTACTCGACTATACAGGTTCAACTGAACCCAATAATTTTAATATAAAGCTTAGATATGTGGACTAAACCTTATTTAACAACCCAATCTCAGGGATCTCCCATTATGACTAACAGTCAAATTGTATAGCAAATTAGTTGCGCAATTTCAGGGATATTTGTCTAGCAATTAGTAGGCTAGTAATCAGGAGATAATTGAGACTCCTTTACTTGTATAAATACCTTGTAAATCCTGCCGTTCTGGATCATTGAAAGATATTAGAATTCTTTCATTTTCTGGATCTCTCTCCTTTTCAATATGGTATCAAGAAACTAGAATTTTTTTTCCTGAACACTTTATTTTTCGTTTCTTCAGTAAATCCGTTTGATCCATCTCCGACTCTCCTTGATTCATCTCCGGCTTTTTGATTCCCTTCGATTCTGATTTACTTTCTTCTTTAAATCATGGAGGATTCACGAGATACCTTGTCTACAAAATTTGATGGGCATAACTTCCCAATCTGAAAATTTCATTTCAAGGCTTTCATTCGAGGCAAAGGCCTAGTATTTTGGATGAATCAAAGGTTGTACCCACAGACGACAAAGAAAAAGAAGATTGGGAGGCTGCCAATGGCAAAATCATCAAATGGCTTATCAATTCTGTCTCTGTTGATATAGCTATGGAGCTGACATCCTTGAGAAAGCATCAAAAATGTGGAGTCATCTGCATTCCCTCGGCCAACAAAATTTGGCTAGAGAATTTGAGTTGGAAAGGCTACTTGCAGAATCGAAACAAGGTGAGAAAAATGTTCGTTCCTTCTATCCTGGATTACTCACATTATGGGCTGAGCAAGATAAGGTTTTTGCTGCTTCAATCTCCATGGCTGGACTGAAGGATCTCATGACTACTATAAAAGAGGACAAGGACTGTCCAATTCCTGATGAAACTCAGGTCTGAGTTCTCGTCATTGCATGCCAGCATTCTCAACAGGAAAAAACTGCCAGCTTTGGAGGTGGTGGTTTCCGAAGTTCTTCGAGAAGAAACTCGATTGGGGTCTCAAGCTTCTATGGAGAATTCCCTTGCCATGGGTGCATATAGAAGTTCTTCCTCCTCGGGAAACTCCAACAAGTCAGCTTAGTGCTTTTATTACAAGGAAACTAGACTCATCATTGCTCACTGCAAGAAGCAATATTATTGCAACTATTGTAAGAAGGATGGTCACATTATTCTAGAGTGTCGTACGAAACCTCATTTTTCAGGTAAACGCTCAACTCCTCATAAAGCCTTTTAGGCGATGGCAAGGGATGTTGGTACACATCAAACACCGGCATTGCTTGATCGCAACAATATTCATAAGATGATACAAGAGTCATTGGCGGTGGCTCTTCCTAATGCAATCTCTACAGCTCTGACTGCTACATACCCTAGTAAGAATACAATTCCGGATTCAATAGTATGGCATATTGATTCGGCTGCGTCTAACCACATGACAGGAAATTAATTTTTTTCCTGATTTATCTAGAGCACATTCTACACATTAAATTATTACAGCAAATGGTCTTGTTTTATATGCATCAGGCATTGGCTCCATTAAACCATTTTCCAAAGTTCTTTGTATACCAAAACTTACTGCAAATCTTTTATCTGTTCGACAACTTGTAGAAAGAATTTTTGGTTATATTTTTTCCTAACAGTTGTGTTATTAAGAACATATTGACAGGGGAAATGATGGCCAGGGGGCGTAAGGTTGGCATGCTGTTTCTTCTTCAATCTAGGGATATCAATCTTCATCAATGTTTTCTCTCAGCTTCAAAAAAAGATATCGAGTTTTCAAATAAAATGTGGAACTTTTGGAATCTTCGGTTAGGCCATGTTGAAATCTTGTATTTTGTTGGATAAAGACTCACTAATTTTTCCCTCAAAATTACCTTGTGAGAGTTGTGCAAGATCAAAGAGTCATAAACTTTCATTTCAATTAAGCAATAATACTTATTCTACTCCTTTCAATTTAATTCATAGTGATATTTAGGGTCCTTGTTATATCTCCTTTGGGATACAAGTATTTTATCTTATGTATTGACCAAGCATCTCGCTATACTTGGATTTTCTTGTTGAAACAAAAACCTGAGGTATCAAACATTGTCAAACAATTTTATAACCTTATAGAAACCCTGTTTGGAAAAAAGATCAAGATTTTTCATTTAGATTCAGGAGGGGATTATGTCAATACAAACCTTTCTAACTTTTTTCAAGAAAAAAATATTATTCATCAATGTGCTTGCCCCTGTACACCTAAACAAAATGGTGTGATAGAACGTAAAAATATACATGTTGTTGAAACTGCATTAGCTCTTCTTGATACATCAAATGTTCCAAAACTATTTTGGGCTGAAGCCATTTAAACATCTATTTATCTTATAAATAGACAATCATCTTCATTCATTAAATAAAGCCGCCCTTATTTATTCTTTTAAAAAAATTGCCCGACTACTCGCATCTTAAAGTATTTGGTTGTGTATGTTTTGTTCTTCTTCAAGATAATGAATGTCATAAATTATCCTCTAAAGGTGTTAAGTGTATTTTTGTGGGATACAATGACATTCAAAAAGGATATTTGCGTTATGATCCAATATGTCATTCATTGAGATTTTCTCGACAGTTTATCTTCTTTGAAAATTCTTTTGCTTATGCTAGTAAAGACTACAATCTTCTACTAAATCCTTTTTGCAAAAAATTTCACTCATGATTCTGTTGGCCATAACAACCTAGCCACTGGTCCATCGTCGAACTTGC